CCATTCTTTATCTCAGAAGAAGGTGTGCAGGCATCAGCCGGCAAAGCCGGCTGGTCTATCTATAAAAGGCATGTGTTTCAATGCTCGCACGGGGTATACAGTCATATAACAAGTCGCTAGCAACATAAACACACAAAGACGAAAAAAAATTGTATGAATGAATTGATTAATATGTAAGATGTGTAGAAAGAAATGAATCAGCCACGAAGAGAACAGCCCGAAGAACAGCTCAATTACCTTCGCCGGGTGACAAAACACAAGACATATGATCACGTTGACCCGAGTGGAGTTTGAGTTAAGTTGGCTCATAGCGCGTGTGATGAGTGCCTGTGATTCGATTCGCGGATAACGTTCGCCAATCACAGGCTCCCTAGCCACCCATCGCACAGCGACAGCTTGGTGGAGGTACTCAAGCTGAATGCTACCATACGAAGTATGAATGATCATCATTCGACGAATCAGAGCTTATGCAACTGTTGAGCGCGAGTGTATCACCGCCTCCTCATCTATCAGCTACCGGTACCCTACTATATATAATCCGCTAAGTTTGTCTGTTGGTGTGTGTGTATGTGTTTGACCGGAAATTCATAACTTTCTTCAAAATAGCGATAAAGCGCTCAAATTCATAAGTGATGTAGGGGGTCGGGCAGGAACATTATTGGTGGGTGGCAGGAAGTGATAAGAGCTGATAAGATACCATACCGGGGCTTAGAAGGGGAGGGTCACCAACTCCATAGCGCGGGCCACAGCAGCGATGGGGCGTTGGTTTCAAGAGGTAAGATAGGGTGCAGGATGGGAACATTATTGGTGGGTGACAGGCCATGATAACAGCTGATGAGAGAGCATGATAACAGCTGATAAGGTACCACAAGGGGGCTTAGAAGCGGAGTTGCCTGATTCGTAACGTCGGCCACAGTAACGACCGGGCGTTAATTCCAAGAGGTAAGATAGGGTGCAGGATGGGAACATTATTGGTGGGTGACAGGCCATGATAACAGCTGATAAGATACCACAAGGGGGCTTAGAAGGGGTTAGTTGCCTAATTCGTAACGTCGGCCACAGTAACGACCGGGCGTTAATTCCAAGAGGTAAGATAGGGTGCAGGATGGGAACATTATTGGTGGGTGACAGGCCATGATAACAGGTGATAAGATACCACAAGGGGGCTTAGAACGAGAGGGCCACCAACTTCATAGCGCTGTTCACAGCGGCGGTAGAGCGTTGCTTCCAAGGAGTGATGTAGGGGGCAGGATAGGATCATTGTTGATGGGTGGCAGGAAGTGATAACAGCTGATAAGAAAGCATAAGGGGCTTCAGAAAAGGAGGGTCACCAACTTCATTGGTCGGGAATAGCGACGGTAGAACGATCCAAGAAGTAGAATAAAGAGCAGGAGGGAACATTATGGGTGGGTGTCCGGAAGTCATAAGCTGATCGGCTGATAAGATACCATACTGGGAGAGGAAGCCTTTAAGAATTCATAACAGGAAATATGGTAACACGGGATCTGCTTCTAGCACGTAACTCGGGAATTGAGTGTAGATTTTGTAGCCCAGAATCAATGGGCAAAGCCGTGGTGAGTTAATGTTTTTATTCTTCAGCGATGTAGTTGGAACGACCGCTAAATCCACGATTTCGACAAAAAGTAATAGCTCAAATTGTTTGCCATTGAGGAATTATATATATGCAGATATATGAAAGCTGCTCAGTGGAAGTACTAGGACGTAATTTCACTTGGATTCTGATATTGTTACCATCGAATCTCTTTCAACCGCTAGGCTGTCCTATTTCCAACAAATGGTGGGTGTTCTCAGATTTTGATAAGCAGCCGACACTGGCAAATGTTCATTAAAAAAGAGAAATGCAATACAATCGGCCGTATTTCGAAACATGGGAATTAAGCCAAGTGTTAGTGGGCAACACAGTAATCCCGACAGTGACCAGTACCATGTTAACCATGCGCGCAGTAGTGCGCGACAGCCAAACTGGTATGAGGAAAAACAGGAAACGAAAGACAGAGCAGCAGATGGTTCAACACGGAATCAAAACCGTATAGTAACTTAGGAGTGCGCGCAGTACACATAACAACAGTACGTAACATTAACAATTAAAACGTTTTTCTATACGATGATAATGATGTTGTTGAGATGATATAACAAAAAATAGATTTCCAAACTGCTACAACATATTTGGCATAGTTCAACATTAGCGGCTTTATGAAATATAGCGCGCATGGCGCGGGTGAGCGAGCGTGCTAGTCACAGCAGCAGGTGATTTCCACGTGATTCAGATGCCCGCGGTGTCGTCGGTGTGTCCATGGCATCGTCTACACGTGAGGGCAACAATGACGGACTGCTGCTGGTTAGATGTGACGGTCCATGATTAGAATGATTACCGTGCAAATGGCCTTGATCCAGGCTGTAAAACAAATATAGGTAAAATATAAGTCCAAGTGATTTTACAAGTTCAACATTTACATATCGAACAATAATTTACTTTGCGGGAGGCACGAGTGAACCAACATCGAGCATTGCACTCACTTCCTCTCCCAAAATGACCCCCACCCTAATCTCCCCCTTCCCCCCCCTTGATGTTGATCCTCAAAAATGACCCTGAGTCGAGCAGTAACGAAGTGGCGGCGCCGTAAACAAGGAAGGAGGCGGCCGAGCGAGAAAAGTCAACAGTAAAAATCTTTCGCTAATCCAGGGATCACTTTCCTCTCCTGGTGACTACAGACTTGCTCGCTGCGGATGCTGGGACGTCGCAGGGCTGGGCTTGACGAGGCATCAGCCTATCCTACACCAACTGTTGATGCGGATAAGCGACGATAAGCGGGGGGAAACGGGCTGGCGCCACGAAAAACAACCCAGCCCTCCCTGACACGCCTCATCTTCCACAGGTAAGAAGACGGTAAATACAACACCGTCGAAGGTATCTCGACCTACGCATCTGAAGCGGAGCTTGTTGTGACCCGCCAACAAGCACGGCGTCTTTATAAAGACAAACTGTGCACTCACTTCCGTGGATCTCGTCTTTGCCGTGTGTGGAATTAGTCAGAAGCTTCAGTAGCTTTCCCCAATCAAAAGTGCATGGATACTGTGTTTTGGAGGAAGTGATAATCGGATACTCGTGATGCTGTATGGATATATGAGTACACATATGCAGCCGTACCTTCGGTAGCGGTTATTGGCAAGCCTATGGGAAACTCGTCCAAAATTGATTACTAACACAGTGAGAACGGAGGCTCTTTCTTCGCAGGATTTTGACCGTTTCACTCCGTTCTTTCGCCATTTCCCACTATATAGCGCCCTACTAGCATTTTAGGCCGAGCACCAAATCATCGTGCCAACTGCCTTTGATAGGGCCTGTAGGGGTACCCTCTTTGGAAAAGGCACCAAGCAACGCCTGCTGAGGGGTACTGAGTCTGTCCTGCTAGGCGTACTAATCCTAGAAAGGCAGTTCAGTACCCCTGAGCGTCTTTCGGGGATTATTCGCGCCACTAGCTTTAATGGAAATCAGTGTGGAAGTGGTGGAGGTGCAACACGGGAAATTTCAGAAGATGTGTGTCACGCTGTTACTTTGTATGTCTGGTAATGATTTCTCTGACCGCTTACCTTAACTTCCCATAGGCCTTTGCGCCAAATTGAAAGAGGAGTCCCTGTCCTACGGGGCTAATTACTTTTTCGTTTACGTAGTACCTGAAGAGAAATATATCAAAGTGGTTCTGAAGAGCAATATAGAGTAGCTCAAAAGCATCCGGCCAGACGCTTTTTCGCCCATAACTTTTTCCCCAACCAGCCAATTCATTTTAAATTTGAGTGTCACAACTAGCATTGTCACCGATGAATGAAAGTAGACGCCTTAAAACATCATGCAATTTTACGTTCAGATTTTTTTGCGCAACGACTAACTTCAGTGTTCACAAGGTCATCATTCTGTTCACATTTTTCGAGTTTTGTGGAGTTCCACGACAATATGTTCGACTACCAAAATTGCCTTTTGCTCCCTGCAGTGACTGCAATGAAGAATGGACCCCAAAAAAAGTTGCCATGAAAATGAAAAATGAAGGCATGGAGATGTCCCTTTCCCACTCAAGAGGACTGCAGTCAGTTTTTGGAAGACCAATGGAGCGTATTTGACATCTGTTGGCGGGGAAAAGAGCATCCACTAACGCAAGTGGGCTGATTCCGAATCCAGTCAGGGTATAGCATCGTAAGGTATGAAATGGTTGTGCCGGTACGACCCCTCCCCACGTTCGAGGGAGTCTTGGTACGATTCCCACTCCCCATTCATCAACGCATCCCTACCAATTTCCCACTTCTGGGAAATAACAGGGAACTTTCCGGAAATCCAGAGAGACTGGTAGGAGTAGGATGATGGGGAAATCTAGAAAAGTGGTGGGTGGAATGGACAAGGAAAGGGGTGTCGGAGAATAAATCAGGTGGGCACTTATTTTCCGAGAATGCCTCCCACCTGCAAGACGTGCACTGATAACGCTGATCATCTAGTTGCTCGAGCGGGCGCCATCGAAGTCTTTTTTGCCTTTGTGACGTGCAAGAGCTACCCATGGGTTCTGTGTGCTCGTCAGATACGATGAAAATGTACCACTCGTTCAGAGCTTTCACCATGAAATCTGGCCGTTGATTGGCGGTCATCCAAGTGTTTCTTCGACATACCGTGAATGTCGGTAACCGCTCTTGTACCTCGAAACGCATGATGTGTCCGGGCCGTCCGATCTTCGGAACGCTGGCAAATGCGACTGCGTCCCTGATCCGGATTTCCTCCCTCACCTGCTATAGCGGGAAACTCCAAGCATCGCTCTTTCAATGGCGCACTTGAAAACGCTGAACGCACGTTCATCCTGCTTTCGTAGATCGATGCTTCCGTTACCAACCCAGGTGCATGTTCCTAGAGCATTCCGAGATGTCCGTTCTACGAAAATGGGACACCACAGACCAGTCCGTTTTCATGAACAACGTCTTTGTAAGACTAAGCTCAAAGCTGCTTTTCCACACGCGCAGTCGAATTCAGTCAGCATTCGCTCTGCTTGCTCGATGTTTGGTGTTACTAGCATGATGCTGTCAGCAAACAGAGACCGTGTAGTTGCCGATGATGATCTCCACTCCCAAGTGTTCTCAATCCAGCTGACGTTTTGGAGAGTTGCTCTGAAGAACTTGGGCGAACCTGTGTCCCTGTCAACCCCTCTCTTCACGGCGATGATTTTCCCACTGAAAAATGGTGAAACACCGGTGGTGAAGTCGCTGTAGGGCTCACGAAAAATTCTTGCGTACTGAGAAAGGAAAACGCGGCTGCCCAAGGATTCGATAGCCACTTATGTTAACGAAGTTATACGGATCACGGGACGTGAGACATAACAGCATTTTGCGCGCAGTTTGACGACGAAGGAAGGGGTATTTTGCTCCATAGATGTGTCGACCCATCTAGGTAGCCATTTCTCGAGTTGACACGTTTAGGATAGTGGCTAGACGATCTTGCTTCAGCTTCACAAGAGTTCACAAGTTTTACCAGAGTGAGATTTGTAAACCGGAACTGGGGAAGCAATGATAGTACAAAATAACCCCGTCAACAGCGCTGAATTTTGTGCTCTCGCAATATCTAGATGAGCCTCCTTACCGTGTGGATATGATCAATCGTGCTGAATCACCACTGTTACCCTGCTTGCTCGCATGGCTGTCCTTCATTTGGTGTTCTACCAGTCCTGTTTAGGATGTCGCGTGAAGAGTTTGCAACATAATCCTGCCCGTTCCACACAAATTGTGCATTCCAACAGGGAGCACGTAAAAATTTTAGCCATATTTTGGACAAGTTCCGCGGAAGAAACCCAGATGTTTGGATATGATTTGCCGGAACCAAGTTCGGTACGATTCTTCATTGGAAAGATTGCGTGTCGGAGTTTGTAAGGGAGGACTGAAGGAGTGACATATAGTGTTCCAAGCGGCACGATGGCACGTGTACATGGCTGACAAGAGATCATGGTAGAATCTCCTCATAGTCTTTGGGGATGCCGCGACTGCTACGGATGTCGGAACCGGTCATCTTAGTCTTACGGGCCCGTGAAGTTGTTGCGGGCGCTCGTTCTAACCTCCGCTAATTACCATTACCGCTGCTCTTCTCTCACTGGAGTATTCCTTCATCGTTTCTCTTCATAGTTTCGTAAGCTCGGACTTTACTGGTATTCGCAGCTACTCGTGCGATTCCATGCTGGCGAATCCTCGGTTCTCAGTGACCTTGGAACCTCTGACTTCCGGGACCCTATTTCGATACCTTAGAGCTAGTAGAATAGTGACGTTCGAGTCCCTTTCTTCCGAGAACCACAATTTCCTCGAATCTGATTCTCGCTTTTCAAAAATGCCGCTTTTATAGGCATGATTGACTTGGGAAGTATCTGAGTCACTTTGCCGACCTGTGAGCCAGTCGCACGCAACTACCTAATTTTTGTGAAAATTCTGGTCAGCTGGGCGTCAGTGCGTTATGGCGTATACTACACTGCACAAAGTACAAAAACGATCAAATGTCCAAACTTCCAAGAACGATACTACCTCAATGAGCTGCACAGCTTTTTGTACGTCATCTTCTTGTTATTTTTCCGCTCACCCCATAGTCGTGCCACGGCGTTTGGGTCTATAATTCTAAAAACTCCGTCTCTGCGGCTTTCCCATCTGAAAACAGAATTCGGGAAGTATAATACATGGTCTGCATATCGGCACAAGAAATGAAAACAATAAAATATCAGTTGGAGGAAAAGTCCTGCGACATAAATGAAATGTTCTAGAAAACAGATTATGTCTGTTATGGCTTTGTGCAAGCTGTTAGTGCTCAGCGCACGGCCTAGCTTTGCGTAGGTCATTTTTTGTTACTTTTCCGCTGGCCCCAGAATCGACATAGAGTTTCTTTCTCGTTACATGGTCTGCGTATCGACACAAGAAAGTCCCGCACATCTCTATATACACAGGGGGGAAGGGGCAAAAAAAGTCACTTCGACCGAGTCACATATCAGCAAAGTTTTCGCAGCCCAGAGAGAAGACGTGGATACGAGTACCAGGGCGGAAGATACCCAAGATGTTCCTCGATAAGCAGGAGCTGGCTCTCGCCCATCACCTTCATGTACACCAAAATATGAAGTCATCTCCAGTCGCAGCCTGACTGGAGAAGACCTTTGGAATTCATGTCACCTCCAAACAGCTGCGAAACTTCTAGTGTGGAGTCACCCATGGATAGCTACCTGGAGACCAGTACTCTCGATCTGAAGACCTCCAACATCGAGCAGCTCCGACAACGTCGCTACGGTCTAGGACATCATCTTCACCGCAGTCGCCAAGGCGCGGGTTGATGGTATGGACCGGACGTACCTGGAATGGAAGACCGATATTTTCTTCGTGGACCCCAGACTGAAGGTGCGCTGGTGGCTACATCGAGCAACTCGAGGAGAATATCCTCCCTTCATGTCGTCGCCCGTACCTTCTTGGAAACTTTGTACTGCTACAGGATTGGGTGCCACCACATGGAATCGAAGGGCGTTGGAAAAACTCTCGCCTACTTGGAATGGAAGGGCGTTGAGTACCTGAAGAAGATGGAATATCCAAGTGTGTCACCTGACCTGAACCCCCTCAATTACCTGGTTCGGGCGGAGTTCAACAGGGTGGTCTACAGTGGCGGAGAAATCAACGATCTCGCTGAACTCAGGTACCCACTCACGGTCGCGTGGCAGAATCTCTCGATGGCGCTCCTCCAGAAGGCTGTGGCGGAGTATCGTTGATAGTATTTAATATGCTCTTTAATATGGTAGTAAAATGTCCGATAAAAATTCAATAAAGTGTAACTTATAGCGCCTCGGAAGTCAAGGAAAAAACGTCTTTCTTCCCCCCCCCTGTACATAAACCAGAAGTTGTTTTGTGTATCTGCGTCTGTCTGACCACTTGACATTAGCGTTTCGTGGAGATTCACTTTGGGGAAACTGATTGTGCGTGGAATAGACGTGGCATGGGCCAGCATTTGCAGAGCACACACAGGCTCACCTAAGCTCCGCCCACAATGGGCGGGGCGTTCGCCGAAGTGGACGAAGCCGAGGATAAAAATCCTCGAAACGCATCCGGAGCAGACCACGAAACGGGGAATGTGCGTGAAACTGACAAGGGAGGTCGTTCAGGCCGTGGTGAGCTTTTTCAAAACGGTTTGTTGCATGTTGTAGGGGTCCATGCGAGGACCACAGCGATGGGGTTCATTTTTGCTAAACGGTACTGGGAATGTCAAAAAAGGTCAAAAATAATTCGAAAAGAATGGGCTTTTTAAACCACCTTATTCGCCTCTGTTCTAGCTGTAGCGTTGACAGGGTATAGTATGTAGGGTATCCTTTGAGCAGGCATGAAAAACAGCGCAAAATAAGGTCAAAATCCAAATGCTTTACTTGGCATGTAGTGAGCTGCATTGGAGTTTTCCAGTCATCTGCGCAGTTCTCTTCAACAGGTCCTACATCTCCACGTCGCAGTGGCAGATGGTGTAGTGGATAGCGTGACGGGCTCTCATTCGGTGGGTTTATGGATCGAATCCCCTTGGTGGCACATTTTTTGCATTTTTCAGATTTCTTGCATCTTGTATTCCTGTATGCCCCATAATGTGTATGACCCGGATATACGCCATTTAAAGACACATTCCATGCGGGAACGGTTCACAACGGGGCCTCACTCAATTATTACGCTCGCGAAATACTATCGAAGAAACTCTCTATGAAACTTGGGTTACGGCGGTTATCCGATGCTCTGATCATGAACATGACACTCATTTTTAAATATGGCGCAATGTGTCGCCAATTTGGTGCAAAGGCTTTCTCGTACTAGCATCATTGTCAGTCTGCGCGGCGGGGCTTATTTAGCGCCATACTGGTCCCAGATGGCCTCCGTGCCAAAAATAAGTGTCAGAACCGTGATCAGGACCATGAACTATCCCTACGTATAGAGTTACGCCGGAAAAATTTTTCCGAGTTTTTTGTGTTATGATGCCTGCCATGTCTCCAGCTAGTGGCTATCAGTTCCCCCCCCCCTAAAGAGTCATTATTCAACATCGTTAAGAGGGGCTTTTCATTTGTTAGTATGCAGACGAGAATTAACAACTACACAAAAAAGTGAGGCACATACACTGCACACCACTAATACCTTTGATATGGGAGAAACAAGATCTTTTTTCCGGGCAGGTGGTAACGAGTTCTTTGTCGAAATTGTCGAAGACGGTAAAAGTGGAGAAAGTTTCAGGATGCTCGTTTAATGACTCCGAAGCCAGCACGGTGTTCTATGTAAACCTACTGAAGTTGAGAGTGCAAGAAATGAAAAATTTCTGGTGGTTTGTATGCCAGAGAGGATACTCAATGGTGGTTCGCCTGTCACTGCCATCCAAATGGTCAAGTCCATGACCACCAAAAAAACTCGAAAAAAATTTTTTCGCTGAAACCTCTTAAATAGGGGTAATCAATGGCCCTGATCACGATTCTGACAATTATTTATGGCGCCGACGTGATCTGGGGCCAGCGTGGCGCTAAATGGCCACTGCGAGCGCGAAGGGATGCTGCATAAACCCCTAAAGAAACTGCAGTGTACCTCACTGTATGCAAAGTAAAGCACTTCAATTCGACCTTATTCAATATTGTTTTTCATGTCTAGTTGAGGAACACTTTATAAACTCTATGTATTCTGCTTTACAGCTGAAACAGATGCGAATGAGATGATAAAACTTGCGTATTTTGAGCGATTTGTTTTTATTCCTTTTTTGACATTCCCAATAGCGTTTAGCAAAAATGAAACCCATCTGTGTGGTCCTTGTATGGACCCCTACAACATGCAACAAATCGTTTTGAAAAAGC